TCAGTCATCACACGCCAGAGCTCCCGGAAGCAGAGGCTGCGCCGTTGGTGAAGATGACCCCAGGGTCAGAGCCAGATGACAAAGCATTCACATTGTACTCTCCACATTGGGCTAAGAAGCTGGATTTGCCAAAGGGATTCGAATGGAGCTTGCGTCAAGACAAAAACAATGAGTGGGTGTTGGAGTGTGGTGATTCAAAGCACAAGCCTCGCCACGTGTCCAAAGCGTTGGCTTCTTCTCACGCTGAGTCCATGTTGGAAGATGACCTTGTGAACCTCATTGTTCAGGACGGGAAGACCGAGAAGAAGGACAATGAAGATGAAGAAGTTCCACCACCTCTTCAGATTAATGAGGCTCCTGGGGCATCTGGTGGCCACACCTCAGCCTCAGTGATGGTTCCTACAGCGAAGTCAACGGCGTCTCCGCGTGAGCCTGTGGATGAGAGTTGAATTCCTCTGATGGATGCTCTGCTGGGGTTGCTGTTGGAGAGCTTGTTTGACCATTGGTGTGACTAAAACTACACATAAAATAGACACAAGTATCACCCAAAATAGACACAAAATAGTCTATTTTCAGCTTATTTAAGGCTTATTTTCTACAGCAAGGTATTCTGCTTATTTCGACCTTATTTTGAGTCTATTTTGGGTCTATTTTGGGTCTAATTTTGAGTTCATGTGGGTGTGTCCAAATAGTATCAATTTCAAAGTTGCTATGCGCTTAACCATTTGATACAAATACCACTTCCCCCATCATGAATCAGCCAACTCTCATTCATGTTATACTTGGACACACTGACAGGGCTGAAGTGGTTCCAGCTGACTCACAATCAGTTCGAACCACTTCAGGAATTCAGCTCATCAAAAAAAGACCGGTGTTGAATCCTGGTTCACATGTTTGTTAAACCCAGTGTCAGAATGATCAGAGCATCCTTTTTGTACACGGTCGCTGCTTGACTTGCTTGACTGTTCAATCAATCAAATTGCGAAGGCTGCGGCGAGCTAGGCTTTCTAGTATTCTAGTCATAGTCTATGTGCATTCAAGTAAAACAGATTCAACATGGTTCAACATTCACTTCTGTTGTAAACGGTTTGTCTCTTCCAGTTTGAGTTTGCAACGACACACTTCAGGTATTGACAATAATAAAACAAATGCCAGGCCACAGAATAGATGCGGTGGCTTCGCAGCTAATCCAGAATCCAGGCAGTCATGAACAGCGCCGTGAGAACCCGCACCTGAAAAAGTGTGCGTGCCAAGTAAGCTGGCAACCGTTCAGTCTGACTTGTCATTTGGGTGTCCAACGCAGTATTGTGATCAATAGACTAGTCAATTATTTACAATTATTTTCCCATTTGTCGTTCTGAAAAGCAGGTCAGTGCAAGCCAGCAAATCCAAATCGCAGCGCTAGGCTTGCCAATACTTACCTTTTTCATAGAATCAGTGAGACTCTAGCCAGACTGGTCCTGACGCCGTACTTTAGTGGCAAGTTCATTTTTGTTTAATTATGTAAAATATTATATGTAAGCTTAAAGCGTAAACAGACTGACAGAGTCTACTATGTCACGTGACACTGACAAACAGAGTCTCTCTGCCTGTGCCAGCTAGGATACCCGCTGCGTCAAAAAAAACACGCGTGCTACGAGGCCACACCATCATGAACGGCAAGCCAACTTTGATTAAGTTAAACACGGTGGAGTCTGCATTCATCAAATGTCAGGTCAAACAACTTTGATCAGTCCTGTTGGTGAAGCGTGCAACATAAACGCGTTCGTGTTTAATATATAATGAGCTAGTAGCCATTTGGTTCAGACTGAACCTTAGTCAGAGATCGACTGTCTGACAGTGCTGTTGCTACTACTTGTGGTGAAATCCCCTCATCATGGTCAAGGGAAGCCCAGAGTCTAGCCTGAGCTCAGAATCTGACAGATTCTTGAGAGGCAATCGATCAAGGTGGGAGGTTGGAAGCTTGGCCTCGCCTATGTCAAGCCCTGGTGTGACACCACCTCGACGATTGCCTTTGATGAGCGACAGCCCAGTCACCAATGACAGTCGCATGGACCTTATGATGGTCTCCCCACCAGCAGGTTCAGCGGTGGGAAACGTGACAAGGTCTCCCAAACCAGAATTGCGGCGTTCGGCCAACTTTGACGCAACAGACCCCAATGTCGCTGCAGTGATTTCAGAGCCGATTGCAGAGCCAAAGGATCATGAGTCTGAGTGTGACAATATGAACCCATGTAGTGCTACAGGGGCCTGTACTGTCGACCACGCCGCCACACAGGCTCAATGGACTCCCTGGGCTGCTCAACATTCCCAGTCAGTACCAGCAACACAGCCTTCTCCTCTGACTCCGGAATCTTGGATCAAGAGCCCTTTGCCAGCGACTGGCCTTGCTGACTCTCCTGGATCTTGGATCAAGAGCCCTTCTCCAAAGCCAAGCGGACCAGTGACAGTGGAAGGCAATGCTCGGACTTCGCCAATCTCTTCTTCGACAAGCGGGTGGAGTGTCGTGTCTCGTGACCAATCTGTGGCACGGGATCGTGTCACCACACGTCAATACAACAAGAAGAGAATTGCGACTCCTGTGAGGAACGCACAGTCACAGGGTGAACCTCTGAAGAAGAAGGTCAAGATTTCTGACTACTTTTCCAACTTGCCGCAATCTAGCCAGTGCTGAATAGTAGTGAGCGCTAGATGGATTAGGCACGCGCTGTGGCCATCGTTTAAAGGTCACCAGCAGCATGTGTCATACTTACTGTTTCTGTTCCCCAGCAGCAGTCGTTGCTAATTCGTTAGTTAGACATTAGATTTCATAAGTGAGGCGATGTGATTGTTTTCAGCGGTGATCCCTGAGTCGAGGCTATGTGGGTTTGGCTTCAGACCAGACTGCAGGGTTTCCAGATTTCAATCCGTTCCAAAGCCCTGATGAACAGAAAACCGAGTGGGTTGCACAGCCCACTCATATGTGTGAGCCCATGAAAAAAACAGACCGAACAGCAGCGCAAGCAAATTTGGTAAAGAAAAACACGCCAAATTCGTCCAAGATATATATATATATTACTGAATATTATTCTACAGTAATTGCATTTTTTTATTAATATATAGTCGGTTGTCAATCATTTCAGTCTGTTCATGCCATTATACACCTGATCTGTGATAGTGATTTTTCGTTTCGCCAAGGCTGTGACCAAAGGGACGCTGCACAATTTTCAGGGCGATGACATCTTCAAGCTTTGGCCTTGGGAACACTTCGATTCGATTCGCCTCTGTCACACAGGATGTGAATTCTGAATCAAACACTGACAAACAGTCTGTCATATTAATCTGACAAGAAATATAATATATAAAGACTTATGATCTGATCTCTCCCAGGCCCAAGCTGGGGCCAAAGGACTGCAAGTCTTTCTTGGTGTGGGGCTTGGATTCAGTCGTGATTCAGATTCAGGGGATCAGAGCTCATTTGAAAATTGGTTTGATTCAACCAGTGATTGACCATGCATTTTACGAGAAGATACAATCACTCGCAACAAGCCAAGCAACCTGCAACATGTCATTAGGCCAGCAATCAGCACTGACACTGGTCTGTCAGACCCTGGTCGCATTGACCTGAGGCAGTGATGAAGATCATGCAGCGCAATCTGAATCTGATGTGTGGTCGTGGGCTGGATTCCTTCATTCCAGCTTGGCGACGTGGAAACCCTGGGGAAGACGGGCGATATACTTGTGAGCCCCCCAACCCGTCTGACGCACCAATGTTGCGTTTTGTCATGGATGAGGAAGGGGTACAAACCAAGACTGTTCACTTTCTATTCTCTTACGCTGGATTACGGGGAGCAGTATGCCCAGAGATATGCCACCCGAAATGGAACGCATGGAAAAGAGCAACCAAGAATAGGTCTTCATCGCTGGAGTACGATGTTTTGAGATTGACCATCGCTGCAAATTACAGTCATGGAGCAAAAATAACTGGAGAACGACGGACGAATCGACGGCAATTCTTGGAGACTTTTCTCAATCGTCAAGATGATGCCTACTTTGAAGACCTTGCGGCAGAGGTGCAACTAGATCGCCAAACCGACTTTTCAGCTCCGAGAAACGTTGTTGAAGACCACAATGGCCTTGATGCACGCTGGCTGCTCTCAGAATACCTGGAATGCGACAGCATCAGGAGAAAGGGTGACTATGAGACTTAGACTCAGATCTAACAACTCTTGTCTTCTGTCACCACTACATTTAGTAGTCAGTCAACAGGTCAATGAACCTTTCCATCAACCAATTTATAATATAATCTATGTTTGTTGACTGGTACATAATGTACATCTTTTCCACCAGCATGGTTGGACCATTATGACCATTGGATCAAATTGAACAAATCCTCACGTTGCTCTTGGCCAGGTGAAGCAGAAAAGCTGGTTTGGAATCTTGAACGTTCTCAAACTCATGCTGAAAGATTGGGCGGTGCTGCGGGAGGCCTCTGTTGGAATCATGGAAGTATCCGGAGGTGTAGCCACTCGACTCGACAAAACCTCGCCACCAGCGATGTTCTGCGAAGTCAAATTCTAATGATTTTTAACAACAATGTGACTGATATGATATGGACACGTAGAAAAAAATGTTGCATAATATGTTTTTAGATACTTGTCTAGAACAGGTCAGCTTGTCAAAACAATTTGGAATGGGCTATGTAAGTTAACCTGAAGAACAGCTGTGTCTGTCAGAGAGTACACTACTAGACTACTCGTCTGGTAACCCTCTTTTAACAAGTAATAATCTTGATTCTCGCCCGCCGCAATCTAACTGATCCAGGATCCACACACACCAGTCGTTGGGAATTTAACAAATGGTCTCATATCATACCATATGATATGCCGTGGCCCCCGTCCCAGGTCGATGATGAGGATGACAACGTTGACAACGATGGCGACCAGGCGGCGGGCCAGCCTGTCGCACAGGACGATGACAATGATGATGACGATGTTGGGCCTGCCGGCAAATCTGGTCGCATGAGCAAGTCAGAACTCTACAAGGCATATGTTAGCAAAGGTCCTCATGCTATGTACTGTGATATCATGTCAGATCAGAAGTTGCGACCTGCGGCGGAGTTGATTGTGAGAATCTCCAACCCACTCCATTTGAAATACGCGGAAGACCTGGAAACACAACAGCAAGGTTCAACAGCCATATTGGAATGGAATGTTTTTTGGCTGAACTAGATGAATTGTGGCAGATTTTGACAACAATGTTTTTTTTAAACATTGATTTGAAATTTATCTGAAATTAGTTTCACTCCAATTTGTTCAAGCTGTTTTCGCTAAGGCTTGCAGGGCCTTGGGTGGTTCAATGCCAACAGTGACGAGGATTTTGTATGCTCAGTCCAGTTCTGAATTATGTTCTGCTATGCGGATTTCCTCGCGCTGCCGGCCGCCGTTACCCTATGATGCTGTGAACTTGGAAGATGACATCACGCTTGTCCAAAAAGCATCAGACTTTGCAGTGAACTTGGCTGCCAACTTTGCCTGGAGTGAACAGTTTCCTCAATTGACGTTGCCACTAGCTGCAGCTTCACTTTTGTCTCAAGATCCAGTTCGAAGAAAAATTGGCATGAAACACCTCAAAAGGCTAGTCACCGCGATCACACGAGCAGAGATGCAGGTGAAGAAGCAGCCAGAACTTGAACAAGTCCTGAAAACACTGGCATTTCAGGAGGAGACACTTGCCCGTGAGGTCATGACGCATCTTTCACGCGGGCAGTTCAAGCTAGATTCCAGTGGAACACGGGATTGCATACAGGTTATGACGGAACTGTGTTCTGGAACATCATCCACAAAGGAGCTGTTGGAAAGCACTTTTGCTCACTTGTCGTACATTGTCTCTGGTGCGAACAAGAACAAAGTCACCTCACCTGCGGCATTGTGGATCTATGCATCTGCCAGCCCCTACGTTGCCAAAAGTGGAATGCACCAAAGCTTGCCAACAGAGGCTGAATGGGTTCGTGCTACGTCTGATTTTGGGAAAAGCAAGCAAGAGATGTATCAGCTCTTCAGTGGTGCTTTCAAGTCAGCTAAGACAGACCTTCCTTCTGCTCCAGATGTTCACCTTCCACGAACGAGCAAGGGACTAGTGAAAACTGAATGGAGGCTGTCTGGACCAGCTAGCCACTACAAAAGTAGTGCAGCAGCAGCCTACTTGCTCTTCGATGCTCCCAACTTTGCCAATGCGTCATTTGCTTGGGCAGGCCTGGTGTTCGCTGTAACATGGAAACCAATGTATACAATTACAAAGGTTAGTATGAATCAGTAGGGTGGGACCTATTATAAGCAACCTTACTGTTACAGTACCAATTTAGACGTGTTTTCTTACAATCTGACAGAGTCTGAAAAATCTGGTTCGCTGCTCGTGCAGGTGTTTTCCTGCAGCGGGGCTGCTTCTTCTATGACACGGTGGGAGACCAGTTCTTCCTCAGCTTAGGCTTCCAACAGTGGGCAGCACTGGGTGTGGAAATGAATGTGATGAACATTGCTGGGAAGGTGCCCATGACTTCATTCATGTCAACTGTTCTTATCTGACAAATTGTAATTTGGTGTTCAATCCCTAATTTCCCAGTCACCTGGACTTGGCTTCACGTACTGACTATATACAATAACGGCAACTTTCTGTCTGTGTGTTTGTGAGGAGTATCTCACGTTCAACACCGAGAATGAGGATGTTCACTTTTTGCACAACTTCTCCTTTGATGAGACCTGCAAATGGAGGTATGTCTCACATCGGATCCTCCCTCCGGCCTGCTTGCCAGATGCGCTCCCAGTTGGTGGCACTGCTTTTGAGGTCCTGGATCGAGATCAGTGGATTGCGCGGGGAGCACTTCAATCTGGGCTGAACCTCACTATCGAACGATTAAGGAATGTGTGCACTGCCGTCAAGTGCAAGTTGCCACAGAGGGGGACTGGGAAGGGCGGTCGTATCAAGAAAATTGACATAGTGCGGGCCTTGGTGAACCACTTGTGGCCAGATGAGTCTGAAGACTTTGTCAAAGACATCGTGCGCAAAATGATGGGTGAATCCAAGGGTGACTTTGACATTTCTGTTCTTGCCATGGTGTCTGGGCTGGACACAGAAGATCAAGAATCTTTCGAACGAATGAAGCAGGATGCCATGAAACAACTGGAAAAGAAGCTTTATGGTCAGGGTGTTGAAGCAGGGCTGCAACAAGCCAAGAAACAAGGCATCAGTGAGCAGAAAGCAGCAAGTGATATGAAGGAGAAGGCCGACGCCACAGCTGCAAAACTGACTGCAGAGAAGGAGGAAACCGACAAAAGCGCTGCAATGAAGCAGTGGAATCTCACCCCGCCTGAGCTGCGGCAGCTTCTTCCCGGCAATGGCTCCATCAGCGGCCAATTTTGGATGCGGTACCATCCAGTGAACCATTGGTGGCGGGTGACATATCCCCATAGCTACCTGTTGGACAATTTAGTAATAATATTTTTGGTTTTCTCCCACAATGAATCAATGAATTCATCAATGAATGAATGAACATACTGCACGTTGAGTCCGTAACTGAGGCGACACCAAGAAACTTCAGAGTTGCCAGAGGTCATTTCCAACCAATCAGTGCCCGAAAGCGATAGATGCACTATCCACCGTCCTGAACTTTGCCTACAATCGCTGGAATGAGCTGAACCCCAATGACAAATACGAGATGTTCCTCGCCATTGATTTTGTGTTTGGTTTGTGCTTTGTATTGTTTTGTGTTTTTTACATACAATGCGTTCCAACTATTATTTTGAGCGTGTGATCTCATTGGATGGGACTGGTGAAGCTGGAGTGTTTCACTGGGTACGTTTTTTGAAACTCATATGACAACTATATATTATGACTTTATATTTTACACACTAAATATTTATATCATTGTGGTAGTGGCCGCTTTGTGCCCAGGCCATCCAAGCAAACGCTGCGTGACCACATCGCGACACTGTCTCTCTCCGATGAGTTGGTCGGTGAACCATAACAGGTGGTTCTGACAGTCTGATCCAATTTCCTCATCCCAGGGTTCCAGAAACACCCATGACGACATCGCACTCCATGACATTTGCCAGAGATTCTGTCAGTCAGTACTTAAAAAGCACTTCTCTGTTATTGATGGACACCTGGGTGGTGCACGTGCGGTGTCGCCCAAATATGTTTTTATGAGCTTCTTACTTTCCCTGAATTGAATTGAACGTATTTGG